ATTTAAAATAAATTTTTATATGAATATTAATGTATATATATGAAGGATCAATATGTATAAATTAAATTAAATTTTTTTTTTCTATGAACTAGTTCCTTCACCACCGCAAACCCCAATTCGATACAATAATGATACATTTTTATTTATTAGGAAAACTCAAATACTTTCTTCCACTTTAGATTCAAAAAATAAAAAAAAGTTTTCCAAAATATTTTTTTCCCTTTTACAAGATATATGAACCAAGCAATCAATTTAGTGATATTGGTAACTACCTCTAGGTAGTTTGACGGTTGTTTGAGACTCTTGGGTGTATTACTCAAGAGGTCCTGAATTTGAAACACGAGCCGATGATACGCTTGCAGAGACATCGTCGTCGCGATCGTGGCTAGCAGCACACACCCCAAGGCATGCTACGACACCTATGAGCTCTCCATTCAACCCATCTTGAAACACAGACCAAAGAATCTAACATGTGTATAAGCCAACGAGTCAATAAACCCATAAAGAAGCTGATTGGCGGGATCCCTCATGGGTTGCATTGTCGATCAACCTTGATCTTCTATGAAAGGTTCAAGTGTGAGCATGTCTGTTGGGACCCAAAAGGTGATAAACTATGCATGAGCGGGGCGAAGCCAAAGGAAACTCTGTTGGAGGCCTGCAACAATACTAACGTGCAAACCGCGACTACTAATAAAGGGTAATCACTTAAGACTGTTAATACTGTTAACTTCAAGGCTCTAAATAATTAGTTGAGGTATGTATAAACTAGTCTGAATGCCATCGATACCAAAAGCAAAAAATAAAAAAATAAAAAAAAATCTAGTGATATTAGAAGACCTCAAAAAACTTTTTCAATAAATTGACGAAAATAGAGTCAATTTGTACACCAATAAACACACCATCAAATAAATTCAATAATAATGGGGTGATGACTAACGGGATCTTTTTTAAGGATCAAAATAAAAGCTAATCCACGTGTAACTACATTAGTAGGTAAGATCTCCCATCAGATTTTTAGACATAAGTAGTCATGACTTCTTCTGTCTAAAATGAAAACTAATCCACGTGTAACTACATTAGTAGGTAGATCTCTCATCGGATTTTTAGACAAAACTGCCCTTTTCATAAGTTGTTTCATCTCTTCCTTCTCCAGTTTCTAGCCTCTCCATTTTCTTCCCCATTTTATTATAAGTTTCTTCATGCACGAGTCAACTACAAAGGTGTTATTGCCCAAAAATATTTTTACAAAATGGTTTCTTTACTAATGTAATTAAAAATTTATTATTTTTTATTTTGATCCTTCAAAAAGGGTTTCTTAAGTAGATTCCTCCAAAAAAAATTATAAAATACTGTTGATAAAAATGAGTCGAAATATTTTTCAACACAGTTTTTTTAATACAATCTTATAAATTAATGTAAAACTGAAAAGCGATCAAAAAACCATTTTCATGATTTTCTATAGTTTTAATATAAAAACAGTTTTTGACTATTATATCAAACATATTAAAAATATTAAAAATATTCAAATACAACTAAAATTTTGATTTGTATTTTAGTTTACCCTTAATTTCACATCCAAATGAAGAATAATTCAAGGTACAATAATTTTCTTTAATTTTTTTTTTTTTCATTTAAATAAAGAAACATTGCAATAGGGTTGCATATTGTGAGCCTCGAGAATTTTATACTTTGTGTTTATTAAGATTTCAATTTAAATTTTTAACTTATGACTTAGAGTTATATAAATTAGTAAATTATATTTTTTAATTTGTTGAATTTTGTTCAAAATATTTGTTCAAGTTAAAGTGAGATTCTTGCTTGGTATTTTTTTTTTTTTTCTATCAATCATTTAACATAAACTCTTATTTATTATTATTATTATTATTTACTTATACGTATTTTAACTAATTTTTAAGGGAGACTATGTCACGACCAGGGGCTATCCTATATCTCATCACTTCGGCTCAAAGGCTTTCCTCTTGCGTCAGACATGTCCAAGGTATTGTCTGCTATGGGTTTTTTTGGTCACGCCTCCTTTGGACCCTCACGGCTTTGCTTCGTTTCATGGTCTTTTTTCTACCTTGCGAATGTCTCCCCCATGACTTAAGACTAGCCCAATGGTACTTATGTTACTTGTCCAAGGTATAAGTCCAAGGTTTAAGTCGAAAGGCGTTCGCAAGGTAGAAAAAAGACCATGAAGCGAAGCAAAGTCGTGAGGGTCCAAAGAAGGCGTAGCTAGAAGAACTCATAGTGGACAGTATCTTGAACGTATCCGACACGCGAGGAAAGCCCTTGAGCCAAAGTGGCGAGATAAAGGATAGCCCTTGGTCGTGACAAACTAGGGTAGCAACCCACCGTCATAATCTCCTCACTCAAATCATAGATGCTCAGATGGAGAATTAAACTTGAGACTGTGCGTTTATCCACACTATCTTATATTTGTCCTAATCGTCTGGACTACCCACAGATGGGTATATCTTTGATTTTCACAAAATAATATAATCTAAATATTCTAATTCTTTACAATTACAAAATAGGAAGTCTCTCATGAAATAACAAGAACAAATTTGGCTACTTACACGAAGAGAAAGAAAAAAAAAGAAGGAAGAAAACGTGTTAAATATGTTTATTACCAATTTTAAACCAAAATACTTTTGTAGTAGATTTCTTCATTTTCATTCATTATTGTGTTTTTTAAATAAATATATCAAAAAAAAATTTTTATTTTTTAATTTTTGTATTTCAACATATATATCAAATGAGTATTCAAGCGCTAAAAATACATAATTTAAATCGATCTTTTTTTGCTATTTACATTATTCTCATAAAAATATAGATAAAGGCACAAACGAATTACGATTTATTGATCACGGCTTTCTTCAAACCTCTAAAAAAAAAATAGCTTGAATTTTACAATCCCTTACTTTTGAAAAAATTAAAAAAGTATTTTCATAAAACACAAAATGAATTTATAAAGGAGTGCAACCCGCCTCTTAATCTCTAGGAAAAATATGAAGAAAATGACTTGAATTTCACGATCTCACGCTCACATCATTAATTTATTTAAAAATAAAAAAGATCATTTTTAGTTTAGAAAAAAATAAAATAAAAGCAAATTAATATTACCATACAGTACATCATTGATTAAAAAAAATGCCAAATTGATCAAAATTTAACCAAATAGTTGACAGATTTGAAATTTGTAAGAAAAATGGGAACCATGACCCCAAAATTCAAACCAATGAAAGTATGAAACAGTGACAACTAAGGCAGTCACACACCTTAACTACACACGAACATGAAAACAAAAAAAAAAAAAACAAAAAAAAACAAAAACTGAAGGCGCTTCTCTTTCTCTTCTCTCTCTATTTAGATTATTCTCTGAAAATTCAAATCAATTCAACTCCCCTCCGTCCCTCCCGATCACTCAGCTCAAAGGTATAAGCTTTACAAGACGTCGTTTGAGGGCCTACATNTGTAAAAAAGCCCAAACGACTATTTAGGCAATTGGGTCCAATTAGATGGAGAATAGACTTGGGGTAGCAATGATTTTTTTTTTTTTTTTAATAACAGTTTGGTTTGATCACCCCCTCTGATGATTGCCACGTGCTGTTAGGGTTTCTAGAAGAAGTAATTTGATGTTTTGCTTGATGTACTTTTACCAGGAAACCTAAGTTTATCATAATAATGGTGTGTAATTGAGAGGTAGAAGAATTTATTTCTTCACCAGAATATAGTGTTTTTTTTTTTTGGGTGACTTGGGTTATCCGAGCTTGCACACACCACTCCTATTAGTGTTTAGGGGGGTTCGAACTTAAAAACTCATATTGGATCCTTTTATTCTTTTATCATCAGGTCATTCAGTGGTGGTTAAAATATATAGTCAAGTCTTATTGTTTATATATCTACAAATTATTTGAAAGTTTAATTAAATCATTCTAATAACCCAAACCCAGTTTTCTTGATTCCTCGCAATAAGTATTTATTAATTAACAAAATTAAATTAATCTTTTCTTATCTTAACCTTACATATATTAATGAGCATACTTAGTTGTGAAAAAAATTAATATTTTTAGGCTTATTCATGTTAGATCGAAAGTACTAAAATATATCTTTATGAACAAAGGATACATATAGATAAATATAATTAGTTTTAATCTAACATAAATTAAAGAAGTTTTGGTGAATTACACATTATGCGTACATATGAAATTAATAATGGATAATTCATAAATTAATGGCATTTTTTTTCTCTCCATATATAATTCATAACTTCTGGATAGATATTCTGTTAGTGTATTATATGTCTATTGACATGGCAATCACTTGGATTGCAAGCATGGGCGTAGCCAAAATATACTCAGTGGATCATTTGACCCCATTGAAATTATGAAATTATTAAAAATAGGTATTTATTTTATAATAATTAATAATTTTGATATCACTAAAATTATTCATATTTTATTGATTCCATTATGTTATTTCTATATTTTATTAATCTCGGGTTTCAAAAATACCCATATTTTTTTTTTATGTTTTCTCTCTTCCTCTGTTCCTCCCCTCTTCTCTCATACATTCTTCTTCTTTTGGTTTGATTAATCAAGAAAGACTACTCCTTTAGAGGTTATAAGATAAAATGAAGCTTATTTTTAATTATTTTACTTAAAAAATCTCTTTTTATGTATTTTTTAATTGATGAAATATCAGACACTATGTTACCCTATCTCTAGGCTGTTTTTATCATATTATACATGTAATTGACATAATTCAATTATGGTATAACCAAAGTATAATTCAGTATGTGTAATTTTTAAAATTAATTTTTTAGATTATATTTTTTTATGCTTATTATTTTAGTATATATTTTATTTTAATTTATCAATTTAGATGTTTTGACCCTCGTTGACTAGAAATCCATACTATGCCCCTAATTGCAAGCATCAATATGCTACTATACAACTTCATTGAATCTGAAAAAGTTTAGAAAACTTTTTGCCCTTGTTTTTCTTTTTCTCTGAAATGACAATGGAGGCACAACATTTCTTTATTATAGAGGACTTGAAGCATGATAATATCTTACCTTATGATGCTGCCATTGCCATCTGGGAATTTCTTAAATTGATTTCTACCTCGCTGGAATAATTTTTTTTTTTCCTTCTCCTTTATTTGGAAAATAGAATACAAAAGTAAGATCTAACCCAACCATGCAGTGGCTTATTTGGCCTAGAAGAAGCAGTATCACAAACTCTACCCTTCACGCCACAAGGAAAATGCTAATGCATCCTCTGTCTTCACACTCTTCAGTAGTAAAGCTCTGAATTAGACAGTCTTGGAGTTGGAATAGCAATCAAAGGCTGCGATTTCTTTATAACAATCCCAAATTTTTCAGTTAAGTTCAGTTCTGCGCCATCTGGTAATTTCCACTCAAACGAGTGCAACAATGAAGCCAATATGAACATCAAAACCCTCTCTGCTAGAGGAATCCCTGCGCACATTCTCCTCCCAGAACCAAATGGCATATACTTAAAATTGTTTCCCAAGTAATCAAATTTCTCAGGATCATCCAAGAACCTCTCAGGTTTAAATTCCAAGGGATTTTCCCAAAGCTCGGGATCTCTATGGATCGCCCAAACGTTCAAAATCACCATCGTGCCTTTTGGTACAGTATAGCCACCGATTGTGCTCGATTGGCTTGGAGAACGAGGTACTAGAAAAGGCAGAGCTGGGTGCAGACGTAATGTCTCTTTCACAACAGCATCTAAATACCTTAATTCCCGCAAGTGAAACTCTTCAACTGAGCTGAACATGCCAACAACTTCTGCTAGTTCTTGCTGAACTTTCCTCATTACTTCCTGATGTTGCAGCAGCTCTGCCATTGTCCATTCCACCATCGTTGTTGAGGTGTCTGTTCCTCCCACGATTATATCCATCACCAATGCCTTCAGTTGGATCATGGTAATAGATTTTTCTCTATCTTCATGTTCCTTGAGCTCCAAGAGGAATTGCAAGAAGTCCTTTTGTTCATCGTTCACCATATTGGTACGCTGTTCAATAGCAGAATAAACGATCTTTTCTAACCATGAAAGAATATGCTTCGTTTTCCTTTCTATTCCTTGAATATCAAGCCAAGAAAGCACCGGAAAAATGTCTGAAAGATTTGGAGTTCCTAACAACACCATCAATTCTGCAAGCATCTTTCGAAGCTCAACCCCAAGATTTGTCCCTTTCTGTCCCAACTCAAAACTGGCACCCCACAGCATGTTCTGGACTACATTGATCGAAGTTGCAGTTGATAATTCACCAATGTCTACCGTCTTCCCAATTCTGTTGCAATACACATCTCTAATAGTATTCTTAATCTCTCGTTTTCGCAGAGTGTAGCAGGCATCAATGCTTGCATTACTCATCATCTTGCCCACAAATATTTTGCGCAACTTTCTCCATTTAGCACCATAGGGGCACCAACCGATATCGTTTGCATCATATGTGATCGCCCTTGCAGCGATGGATGTATCACGGTTAGCAAAAACTATATCATTGTCACGAACCACTTCCTTAACCAGCGATGGCGAGCTCACAACAACACAAAATTTGTTTCCGAGCCAAAGCTTGTAGATAGGACCATAGACTTCTCCCAATTCTGTGAATTTCCTGTGAAGATGAGTGCCCAGGAAAGGAAGGTATCCGACTAGAGGCAAGCCACACGGACCTGGTGGCAGTGTAGCATTAATATTTCTTGATTTCTTGACTTTCCACGACAACCAGATCACAGCCAGCATCCCAACTAAAGAAGTGAGAATCGCCATGAAATCCATCTTAGAATTTAGAATCTGTGAATGAAGAGAAAAATGCCTTGACTATAGAATTGTTTAACTAAAACAAGCTCTTAGCAAAGTAGAAAATGTTCGATAAGGAGGAAGTTTGTTGGTGTGTGGTGATGTCCTGATAACTTTCTAGTTTTAGTGGTTCACATTAAAACAGTTGTCTTCCTCCAGGAGATATCTTTTCTGGTGGACAGCATTTTGTTTCACTGATGACCACAATAATTGCCTTTGGCTATATCATATATGCAAGTTAAAAGAAAATCAATTCAAGCAATTTTCTCTAGATATTTTAAGAAACACTTAATTGACAAACACTTAATTTTCTCTAGGTATTTTTTGAAAAGGTTTAGAAACCATATATTTTGCCTTTTGTTTATCTTTTCATCTAAAATGGCAGTGGGGACTCACCTTTTTCTTTTAAGAGGACTTGGAGCATGATGCCATCTTATCCCATGATGCTCTTTAAGTGAATCACCTATTTACCTTTTATCTATGAGAAACAAAACTTTATGTTATGTGCCCATACAGATTTGCTCAACATGATATATTGTCTTTTCTTTTTGATAAGAAACTGTTAAACTATATTGAAGAAAGATTAAGAGATAGGTATATCAGTAAAATAAGGTAATTGAGTATGTGCCTTTTGGTATAGTTGAGTTACCAAATTTATTGGGGTCGTTAATTCTATCTTGTTTTCACTTTCAATCTTAATAATGTATGTTTTTTGTAAGGATTATTGGCAAGTACTGGCTATCTGATAAGGAACCCATACACAAAAGAAAGGTTTTTGCCTTGGAGAAGTTATTAGTTGGTAAAATTCATAAGCAGGCATAGAGTATGTCTTTTGAAACACTGGTATGTCAATCAAACTTTCATGGAGGAGATCTTCTTAAATTGAACTGAAAGACAAAAATAGTAATTATTTTACGTAAAAATAAGAATGTTGTTAAGTACACCCACTCATTTACTAAGTTTCGCTTATTATAAATTTTATTACAATTTTGTCCTTTAAATAGGGCCGACTAACAAAATCAATGGTGTTCGAGAATCTCTTATATATATATAAGGTTACGGGAAATGACTTTTAGCTCCCATCTTCTATTGTAAGTGAAAAAAATTATTCTTCTTTCTCCATCGTTTAATTTCAAAGTTTTATATTTATAGTTCACCAAAAACTAAATGAAATTTAAGTCTATAAGAATTCACAATTTTACAAGTAAATTGAAGCTTATGGTAATTATCAAAATTACTTAATATTTCTTATTCACGACATGAATTAATCTTTTAGATCTTAATCCTTTAAGGCCTAAAAGCAAACTAATCTACTGTTGAATCTTCGTTCAAAGAGTTCTTTATTAATTTATTTATTCTTCTCATTTCTTTTCTAAGTTTTATATTTGAGAAAACTATTGCAGATCTTATTGTTTAAATGGAAAACTGTTTATGTAACTAAAAAATTATTAGAACTTGAATCATCCAAGTTATTTCAACTAGTCCCTCGAAGTCTTAAAGTTAACGATTCGATAAGACTCTAGTGACTACCATTTATTAGTAATTATGGAGATTCAAACTCGGGACCTTTTGAATAATACATTTAAGAGTCTCAAGCGAACCGTCAAGCTACTTAAAAGCAGTTAATAGGTTAATTATTTTGTTTTAGATTTGAGTTCGTTTTATGTTTTAGTATCTACAAAATTGTCAACTTAAAAAACACCTCAAAAGCAATATAAATTTTCCTACAATTTTTGAATATGTATAAGAACTATTTTAAATACTATTATACTCCTATCTAAGGTAGAAGATGGGGATAAAGATTAATATATATACATATATGATGTTACCCATACCATAAATTATTCCCAAATGCCCAATATGAGTAATAAGAGGAAATGGGTTATATGGGCTCAACTCTGAAAATCCCAAGAAAGCCCAAAAGAGGAAATTCACAAGAATTGCAAGAGAGCTCAATATACATGAGCAGTATAAGGTTACTCTCAGAGGAGTGTACTTCGGAGTCGGGCTCAATTAAATGGAAGTGGGCTTGGGTCTCCAAATTNAAAAAGAAAAAAAAAAAAAAAAAAAAAAAAAAAAAGAAACCTTTATCCATGCATACATGGGTAGAGATCCAATGAAGATTGTATTAGAAAATCGAATTAAAAACTTAAAAATCGTTTGAAGTATGTCTGCATTTTAGTATGCAATCCCAATTTCCTCGTTAATTAACAAAATTACTGATAAGACTAAAGAGCCTGTAGCATAGAGGTAAACTAGTAAATGAAAGAGATTGCAAAAATAAAATAAAAATGTCTGCTTACAAAGAACATAGGCCAAAACAGAGCCAAAGAGGATTTTATGAGTTAATAATATTTATTGAATTACCATCTTACCATATATTTTAACACCTAAAACCTAACAATAGGGGATTTCTATTATTTCAGAAATCTCAGGGTGATATTTGTTATTCAATCAAACCTAAAAGGATTATAATTATTAACTTTTTATATTAATTACTGTATAGGTTCGCATGTTTATAAATTGAGAGGACTGAGACTGATAAATAAACTTACCAAGACTTTCATTTGCTAGTAATATGAGATGTGATAATAAATCTTTTTTATGGCTAAGATGATGAAACAACGAGAGGCACAAATACTCTTTAGCAGTGACAAAAGAAAAGTGACCAGTGACCATAACAGGGCCCTAATTTGGATTGATGGAAGACTATTGACTTGTATTTTGTTTGAAGTTTCCTTTGAGTAGAATAATCTCTTATCTCTTCACTGTTTAAGTGGTCTTTCTACAGGACAGTTAGCTAAGCCTCTTTCTACAAGCCCTGGCAGCTAGTGTAGGTCCTTTTCATGTAGCAGCTGGGTGTGTCTTCCTTTAGGTATCATATTTATGAATGTTTTTCAATTTAGATATTAAGTTGAGAAACCTTAATTACCTCAATAAAATTGTAAATGATAGAGATTGAGTAAAAAACATATACCAAAACAAAGGAAAACAGAGACATGAGCAAGTTTATATGTATACCATGAATGTGCACATTATTAAATACATACTAATTAAAATTAAAAGGGAAAAGAAAAGTAATAATCAAATTTCTCTTTTTGTTTCAGTTCGCATTTAAATCAAGTTGCCATTCACGTTGTGTTTAAATTAACCACAGTGATATTGTTATTGTACATTAGAGGAATGACTTTGAAAATAATTTAATATATACCAAGAATTTCCACAATATTAAATATAAACTAAATAAACTTAATACGTACTCTTGAACCCCATATAATTATAATGGCAATTGATTGAACAGCTGGTGTGTGGGGAGCTAAACTAGAATCCCAAACTTGAAACAACTGTTTCCAAACCCAGGATTACTAACAATCAACTATTTAGAGAGGCAAACAATTAACTAACTTAAATTTCATAGTAAATGACATAGATTAAATAAAGAACATAGTAAATGACAAAAAAAGAAGAAGCAATTAACAACCTTATTATTTCCAAAGCCCCCACTTGAATTTGTCCTCATCTCTCTTACCACTTTCTCTCTAATTTAGCACTTCCAAGACGTGTGGCCCCACTTACAAAAAAAAGTCAAGCATCTAAACCAAAACAAGGATATATAATAATAATTTTATTAATCTGGTGGGTTTATAAAGTTCACCCTTCCAAGACGTTTTGCAAAATAAATAAAGCCTCTTAACCTTCCATGACGATTTGCAAAAGAAGTCAAGCATCTAAACCAAAATTCAACACAGATATATGATTTGCTAAGCTGGTGGGTTCATAAAGTTCTCCCTCCCAAGACGTTTTCCAAAGTAAATCAAGTCTCTGAACCTTTCAAGACGTTCTGCAAAAGAAGTCAAGCATTGAAATCAAAATTCAACAAGGATATGTAATAATAGAAGAAGAGTTTGCAAACAAACAATAATCTTACCAATAAGTCTCTCTTCTATCAAATAGAATTGGACTTTAATAAGAAAATGGGATCTTGGAAGTAGGTAGATAGGTCCTTTTTATTAATTTGAGGATAAGTTTGAAGTATTTGTGGAGGACTTGAAATGCATTAAAAGCTGATTTCTTGCTAATTTTTCCACAAATCACAGTGCCCACGAATTTCCATGTAAAAGCTAATTTCTATTCTAATTTTCACAGGCTGTCAAATTATATATAGAATCATAAGATCATTTTTCTTTGTACTGATATCATATATAACAACAGCAACAGTAGACTGGTACATAACATTAATCCATAAACTTATAACTTGGAACAATAGAATTCTAAAATACAAATCATAAAATGGAACATGTCATATTGGGTAACATATTACAAAATTTGATATAGTATATCAAAACAAAGAAAAATGCTAAGTCATTATTATGGGCAATGTTATTATATTACTGTAGAAAACCATTTCAAACTATCAAATTAGCCATGTATTAGAAAGCCTGGGGCCAAAAGTGGTGGGCTTTACCATGTGAACATTAATAATAAGAAAACAAAAAGGAAAATGAGAAATTTTACCCATGATCATAAAATATATAGTTCTTTTATTTAACAAACAAAATTTTGCGTTTCTTGATACAAGAAAAGTTTAATTGAAATTTTGGTGTTTTTTTTTTTTTTTTTTTTTTTTTTCTACCGTTAAAAGTCTTACTTTGGTATTAAAAATCAAAATTAATGAACAATCATGATTGTATTGTAAAGGGAATGATATTGATTGAGTCATTCTTATTATAAAATTTTACTACTTCACTTGATTTTTGAGTTAAATAAACAAAAAAAAATATATATATATATTAATAAAGAAAATATAAATAAGCTCTATCAAGAACATGAAAAATCTACAAATCTCCTATACTTTCTTGGCCACACTAAAGTCTAGCAAATTTAAAAGCTCATTACAAGCACTTCTTGTCATCAATGTCTTAGAAGAAGTTGAACGCTGCTTCATCTTCACAAATAGCTTCTTTGAAATCCAGGCCATTCAATTCATGGCCTGTTGGTTAGCAAACTCATCCATTTCTCTCTACAAAGCAAAAGCAATTAGCCAATAGTTAAATAACCTAACATAGACAAAAGAAAGGTTAAAG